GAAGCTGCGTTCGGGCTGGTAGGGGGCATCGTCAAATCGATGGAGCTGCGGGCAACGCAGTGCCGCCGGTCCGAGCTGCACGCCCAGTCCAAAGCAGCATCCAGGTCGTGTGGAAACCTTCTTGCGGCTTCTTTGGCCAAAGCAAACGGCACACAAGGACAAAAGAAGTGCGACCAGCTCATCTGACGCGCAGCTTGGCGGACTCTGTGGCAATGGGCTGGGGCCAGCCCCCCTCATGCGGGGCATTGTTTGACCTGGACGAAGTGGCATTGACTGGTCAACGAAGCCACACATGCAAACACCAAATACGCCAACACAGGAGCAGCCATGGACCCAAGAAGACTGTTGCGAAACCTGGCGCATGCAGAAGCGGTAAGTGAAATGCTCGGCAAACTTCGCATCGATTCGGATATGCCCCAGTGGCCGCATGTGAAGGTGTCAGCGATGCAGGCGACAAAGAAGGCGTACGCGGCAAAGATGACTTCAAGCGACCTAACCATGTAGCAGAGACTGGCAAATCCACAGCGCCGCAAGGCATGGTTGGGGAACGTGAGCGCTGGCAATTTAGCTCAATGGTGTTGGTTGGAGAAGCGGATGCAGTGTTGAAAGACTGCCATGGAAGCGGCGAAAGCACACCTGCGTGACATCCAATCATCCCTGAACCCGGATCTTGTACTTTCCGAATTTCTGGACAGGTCTCTTCCTGATCAGCCAACCATTTCGGGAAGAAAGGCAAAGAAGCATGATGCTGGGCTGTCCTGGGGACCCATTTGGGGAAGAAAGGCAAAGAAGTGCTTTGACTCTAGACTCACACAACGGATTCTGTTTGAATGGTCGGGGAGAATGGCTCAATCTCGCCTCAGCAGCTGGAGCAAGCGAAGATTGCGACGAATCCAACACAGTTGCAGGCAAAGAACCGATGGAAACCGTGGATGGCTGCTTTTCAACCTGGAAGAACAAAGTCGGAGAGACACTGCGAGCGGAAGCATGCTCACTGACAGGGTCAGACATGGAAGCGAGGCTTGGCTGGGAAGCAAGCAAACTATTGGAGGCAATGACGGAGGCATCTTCATGGGTAGGCAAAATACCGCTGCCACACAAGCCAGCCGCGGCACCACATGAGGCAAAGCGCACTTCGCGCGATGAGTTGTCGCGGCGCAAGCAACATGCTACAAAATGCCCAACTTCATCGCCTGGCTGCTGCGTGAATAGCATTGCCTGCGTCTTAGGAAACGCATCAAGCCAACGGCTAGCATCTGTGAAAGACAGCTGCTAAGCAGCACAGCCAAGCAAAAACAACAAACAAGACTTGGCAGGCTTGTGCAGGATGAGCACACCTTCTGAGTACCACCGATCCAAAAGAGGCACTAATGATCTGAATGTGCTCCGAGCTAGTCACTGCTCCTAGACTATCTGGAGGCGCGCCTCTCTGCATGGCTTCCTGCAATGCAGTGACCGGGTCTTGCAAGGTTAAGTCAGCGTGCTAAAACCACCAGCAATGTGAAGCGGCGCCGTTTTCAATGGGACAAAAAAGCCAACCAGGAACAAGAAGCAGAGAATCTAGTCCAAAGCAGTTCACGCAACAACAGCGCAAAGGCTCTGTCTGAACAACATGGGAAGGAGAGAGGGCCCAGTTCTCAATGGGGCGCAAGACTGGCAGACAGGGATCTGTAAAGCTGGCATTAGGATTGTTTCCGTTCTGCCGGCATTTGACCGAAAGCTTCTTCCGCGGAGGCACACTGGAAAGGAGGCAGCGAGCCAAACGGTTCCGTTGAGGCAGCGGAAGTTTCCAAAAGGCCTCTGCCTGAGCACCCAGCGACCGGAGGAGTGAAGCGCAACTTGGGACACGCTTGTACGGGGCTTGATGGAACTCAGGACACTGGAGAGCCCGCCGTTGGATTTTAGGGATTTTAGCAACAGGAAGCTTTGGAAACGTGCATGGGCGCAAAAAGGAATTCCATGGAATGCAACCTGGCCCGCGAGCAGTGCGGCTTGATGTGTTGTTTTTTTTCCAACGATGTGGAACAAAGGGCGAATCCAAATCTAAAACAACAAGCCCAGGGTTCATCTGCAAATCTCTGGAGGCCAAACGAAGGAACCGAGATTCCACCGCACCACAATCTACGGAAACCATCCCTATCCCCCGTAACGTGCCGCGCAGCTATAGCCCATCATTGCATCAGTTGGCTCCATCAAAAATGGGCTCCCCCAATTCCACTGGTTAAAACCCCAAAAAGTCCACACTTACCCCTCTTGTAATTTAACATAGCTATGGATAGCTATGGATGGTTTTCCATCTATAGATGATATATTGATGCCTAATGATCTAAAATGGTGACTTTCCATGGATGATGTGGGTGATGACAGATGACACCTCTATATACAATTATACAAATTGTAAAATATGGTAATTTTCCAGACTTTATGGTATAAATATGTATTTTCTTTACCCATAAACATGAATTGCGGCCAAAGGACACTTCCAAACACATGAAGAGGTGGATTTCTTGGAGGTCAATGCGCTGAAGCATCGCCACCACTTCAGCCAACTCGCCACTCTTGCGACGCAAGACCACATGGCGCCAGGCACCTGGTGCAGCTGACATGTCTACAATGTGTACCATGATATTGCCATGATGTTAGAGAAAATCTATGATAAAATCTATGATATCATACGATATCTATATGTGTACTTGATTATCTATAAAGTTCACACATGTATGCATTCTATGTAGAGATATGACATACATATACATACATACTGGTATCAGATTCAAGCAAAGCAAGTTAAACCACAGATAGGCAAAGTGCAACATGGTTGTTGTCGCTGGGACTTTCCACATCCCGCAGTGCCGCAGTGCGACCCCAGCGGCCCATCAATGACGGCAACTGCTCCAGCAAAAACGCTGTGAGAGTATCGCCCGAGATGAGTCTAGTCAGCTCCTCATGGGTTCCCATGAAGAGTCACGGGGGAAATGGATGACTCCAAAGTGGGGTCCAACAAAGTGTCAGGTACCTTGAGGATCATGGAAGAATGATCAATGCTCAAATTATATGAAAAGTGGGGAATCAAATGAACCGCAAAACATTAAACAATGAATCATGGAACAATTTTTCACCACATCGGAAGCAACATCATTCATGACACTCAAAGAATACATCCAGCATCAGTGCGTGGCACATCCCAACATTGTAACATCCAGCATCCGATGGTGTTCCCCGGTCCTTGCACTGCATCTCCCTAATGGAGTAGCCGACTAAATCTTCGAAGCCTTGAGACACCAGGCTGAAGCTGAAGTCCTGCGGAAGGACTGGGAATCAACCCATCGGTTATGGTAAGAAAATATGCTATGGAAAATGGCCAGTGTGTAGATGATGACCTATTTAAAATACTGCTTTCCGGTAGGTTCGAGTACCTACCTGTGTAATCATTATAATCCCATCTTGAACACATCTGAAATTCCAAATGTTCGAAACCAGTTGGGAGTCATGCTTCGGGTCACCCCAGCCCCAGTTTCCAATACTATAAAACAATAATTATTATATCATGTCATGTAGTGCCACTTAATGCCATATACCGTATATCTGTTATGGAATCCTCATCCCAACTAGCAGCTCATCTAATTTGGCCTCCGCCCCATGCTCTCCTCAAAAGTGCCAAGTGAGACACCTACTGCGAGATGGTGACTTTCGATCTTTTCCCGCAGACCTGCAATGATTGGATTCCATGAGATCTAAGGAATGGACAGATAAAGATGATTTGGTGAACGTGTTTGTTCGAGTGGAACACCACCAAAACGATGATGTTTCCTCATGCCAGTCCATTGGTTGTGGATTCATCTTCGTTCTGACTCATCCTTGGCGGAACCTGCAAGTTTGGGGCTGTTGAAAGCATCACTCTGAGAATCTTCGTCATCGTCGATGTCGTCCAAGAACTGCAAGAAGTCACCTGCCAGTGATTCTGCTGGCTTTCGCCATCGTAAACCTCTGCTTTCTGGAGTTGAACTAATATATAGTATATATATAATTGTATATATAATTGTATATATATATATACGTACATATATATATATATACAGATACTATTACTATGACTTAACTGCAAGAGTTACCCACACAGTCACCGGCCACCGGAAGCTGTGACTGTAAGGAATCACTCAACACTCCGAGCACACGCCAAGGGGATCATCTGGGAGCCCACCTTCGGTTGGTAGGGCCGTTTCCTCTGTATTGAAGCGCTCACCTGCAGCAATTGGAAAGAACAGACAGGCGCTGAGTGGGTCATTCTGGATGCCCATAGTAGATTCTAGTAGATTTTCCCCAAACCCAAAATGGTGATGTTTTTTTGCAGAGTTTCGCACTGAAAAATCCGCATGTCCAGCTTGATGCCCACTGAGTTCCTTGCCTCTGTAGAAATCCAGCTGATCTTCGTCTGGAGCGCCAAATGGGTGCCTTAGGATCCCAGGACACAAACCCGAGACACGGGATGCAGCTTCAACTCTGCCTGGTAAAATATCATATAAGAATACAAAATCATCTTGAACATATTTTTGCTGAGAAAATGGTATCCAAACATCTTGAAAGTTGTGCTGGCTAAGAAACATGCAAAATTTTCACCTTCCCCCACTGGAGATTTCATGAGCCGCACTGAATTACAGACAGGCTGCCACAATTTCCCGTGTTCCATGCGGCCTAGAAGGGTATGCAACATGCCCGAACGCCGCAAGTGCCAGAACGACGTACTGGCCCGGAATGAAAACCCTTCGAGCCAAAAGAAGCAGCAGTGTGATGCATAATATCTTGGTGGCCCACTGTTTTGTATAGGCCTGGCAATCAGCCTGTTCAATTCCAGGAAGCATGTCAACCAATCCAATTTTCCATCACGAAGAATCTATTTGTTAAGTTAACACAGAATCACCAAAACCATGAGTAGTTACAAACACATCAAGCAGTTTGGTTGAAAGGTCTTTCACTTTGACACCTGGTTCATCCGGGTTCGCCTGGGTCTCTGTTCCTTGTAGCTGCCGAAGCATCGTCAGATCCTCCAAATGCAACTTGCGAATCATCTCGACCAAGCTTCCTAGGGGGAATGACTAAACTTCTCAGAAACACAACCAAGTTCAATGAAATTGGAAAAATACTGTTTAGTTTGAGATGTGGTGGCCCTGCGTCCATGCAACTGACTGGCAATATGTTCCCTGCTAGGAAAAATCCACTTGCAGATTGTTCGCTTCCCTGGTACAGCAATCGAAGCCAACTGTATGATCTGCATGTTACGGCCGGCATGACGCTTTTGAACTCGCACACTGGTCTCAGTTTAGCAACCCATCTCTAATCTCAACGAGTCATGGAGCATTTGCACAGTTGACAAAAGGGCTTCCATGTGATTCCAGGCGCCATCATCTTTTCTCTGAACTGCTTCACTAAGTTCTTCAGAGGAAAGCCGCAACTCAAAACTTTGGTCTTCAGATTGTTCATCTGGTTTGCTGACACCTGTGACCTCGAATATCCGTGAAACATTGACTTCAATCTTCTCATTAGGGTCTATCCAAACTGCATTGTCCCTACATGTGCATGCTTGCACCTTCCACCCAAATGGCAGCTCGGTGGATTTGATGGCCCGGGTCAACTCATCTGAGTTCCAGGATCGACACTTCCGGTCCAGAGCCATCAATGCACCGATGACTTCATCTTCAACATCCACATCGTTGCTTGTTGTGATGGACACACGGAAGTCCGGACATTTTCCAAGGCGGCACACGTCTCCTCTGAAAAGCCGTTCGCTGGAAGTTCTTGCAGTGAAGGATTGTCCACCTGTTGCAAGGAGTTGGGGCTGCAGCGAACCAGAGATCAAAAAACACGTTGTGAAGAGACAATGACAGCGATTGAATGAGATTGACACATACTGACACATTGTTGTTCAATCGCTTGATGCCCCTCTCTGCCAATCTGGTGCACTGAGCTTGGGACTGCCAGGCACCTGCGCTGCACATTTGGCACATTTCCCTGGTACCAAGTTACCAAGGCACATCTAGGGGCCGTATCATAAGTTGAAACACTAAAGGATACACTGAATACACGAACACAAAGGGGCAGCCACAGGCGCCTCCTTATATGGTGGTCGCACTCGCAAAGCCTCCTCCAACGACATTGATGGCACCGAAGGTCCTTGGCCAATTGCAGCAATCACTGCCCAGGAGGGTTTTGCGGCCAGATTGGGAAACCATGATAATGGTTTGTATACAGAACCAGATGCCAATTCCAGCAACTCTTGGCAAAGCACGATGCGATCAAGTGGCTGCCTGGATGTGATTGGTGTGATAGTAGCCCGTGCGAGGCCTGCTGGATCATATCCATAGCATCCGCGCAACCCTGAAACTCATTGTGCAGTGGGTGCAATAGATGCCTTAGAGCCCGAACTGCCATCTCCACCCGGGAGCTTGTACGACCTTGTTCTTCACTGAGCTGCAACACCTCAGTATAAGACTTGCAAGCCCAAAGGCGCTCAATCTCAGCTTTCCTTTTTGCTGATCCATTTAAGTCGAAGAAAGTGATCTCTCTCTTCTCACCATCACCCTCTGGCTTGATGTAGAAGGTAATGTTCAAGAGCTGTTGAAACTTCTCAAACTCACTCTTCTGCAAAATGTCTGTGAATTTCTTCGCCACAGCACTCGTCAAGCGGGCAGCAAACTGCCCTCTGCAATCCTTGTAACTCATTTGGTTGATGGCCCCTGGCTTTTGCGCATCCCCGTGGCTCAACTTTGGACCCCAAAAAAAGAGTTGGCCGAAGCGCGCCGAAACCCGGGCACGGGACAACTTTGCCTTTGGTGTCTCTTCTTGAAACTTGTGGAAGTCCCGGACAAAGGCATTCCAGTTGCGCCGGTTGGAAGAATATGCGTACCTAGCATTGCCACCTCTGAGGAGGTTGCAGTTTTCTGCTATGTCACCTATGTCCAAAACTTTCTGCAGCACAAAGTACTTGCGGTTGCTACCTGTTGTGGTCTTCTTGAACTCGATTGGGCAAACATGAAAAGCCCTCAGGTCAGCATGTGCCAGCCTGGCATGGCCAGCATGTTCGACATCAACCAATACAGTTTGCTCTTGTGGAGGCTTGTGCGATGCACCTGCTCGATCAATCAAAATCTCCACCCTGCTCTTGACATGGTCAATGGCCTGTGGGTCAAGCCCGGATATGCTGAGCTCCATCTGGTGGGACCACTGTCCGGCAAAGGTCTCCTCCTTGTCGATGTGTGTCAACGAAATAGACACCCCAGGATGTTCAGAGCGCAGCTGATCAAGCTGCGCACCATTCTGGCCAATCACGGTTCCGATGGCGTAACCAGGCACCACAACACAGATTCCACTCGCCTCTGTGGCTGTGCTCGCTCTTGCACCAAAGTACAGTACTTATAGTTATATAGAACATATCCCCATGGAACCCAAGAAAACGCATGCGTTGCATGAACTCAATAGAATAGATTAAGACGGCAAGAAACATCACTTTCAAGAACTCTAATCTAGGAGGCCATTGTAAAGCAGTCTCCGGTTGCAAGACATATCCAATCTAGGGCACCCTGGTGGAACATAAAAAGGACAGTCTGGGGAACAGGTTTGCAAAAAGACTTCTGTTGCAACCCTTTTGAAGCTGCTTGATGGCCTGCAAAGACCTTTCCTTTGTTCACTGTGCACTCAGGCCCGGAAACATTATGATGTTAAATATTACGGCAGCAAGATGTAACAAGTGGTCAGACACACATCATCTTTTTCAACCCGGGCCTTTGCTGATGTTGCTTCATGTCCTCTCAGTTTGCCTCGTCCTTTTGACCCCGAGCCACCTTTGCCCTTTCCTTTATTGTAGGCCCCTTTTCCTTTGCGACCCTTCACCACATCTGCCAGTATGTTGTCACCTTGCTCTTCCACTGTGCGGAGGGAAGGAACAGTCTCCTGGGTCAAAGCACCAGTGGCAGTCTGTATGTCATCACCACCAAGACGGACTTTGCAATTTGGACAGAACCCAGCGCATTTGCTGCACACGTAGACCGTCCCGCGGTACTTCTCGCAGCTCGGCTGTCTGCAGGTCACTCTGTATTTGGATGGCCGCAAATCGCAGCTGAAACACCACTGAACCTCCAAGGAGGTGGTCGATGTGGCATCGTCCATGGCAAGGAAGTCAGCACTGCTTCACTGCATGGACTTGTGGGTCTTTCAATCGGTGGCCGTTTTTAATTCTTGAATTCGCTTTGCTGCTCCGCAAGGATATTCATACAGCCTTTGCAACAATGGCATGGTCTGGATCGCCTGCTCTAAATTTTATCTGCACTGAAATTATGTGCTCTTGCAAAATCCATGCAGCTGGGAGTCATAGCTCTTGAACCCCATCATTTGCAGCACATGATGCCAGTTTGAACTGCCCTCCCCTTTCAACTTTTTGCCAGCAGCTCGTATCGAAAAGCAGATCTCAATAAAACATCAAAAAGCCATCCTCTTCCATCTGGAACCAGCTGCTGTGCTTGGTTAAAACATCTTAAAACCCTATGGTTCGAACATCTTCAAACCCCATCCGCGAAGGTCTCCTCTTCCAGAGACGTCTCGTAGCGCTGCCGCAGCAAAGCCACCAGGCCTCAGCCAGTCGGCCACAGATGGCGTCAACATGGCGCTTTTTTGGGGAGTTTAACCTCCATTTTTGGAGGTGAATATCACCACAACTCAGATCAATACTTATATAACTTATAATATACTTACCTAATGTTACGTAAGTGTTACGTATAACTTATAACCACAATGGTTTTTATTTCAAAAGGGTAGATGAACCCCCAAGAGGCCACGGTCTCAATAGGTCACCAGGCTCTCGGGCGCAGCAAGGAACCGTAGAGATGTCCTAAGAGCCGCTCTCCAAGCTCCTCGCCTGGGTGAATAAAACCCTCCCAGCTTCGGTGATGAATGATGGGCCAAAAAAAGGATGCCTTTTTTGAGAAAAACTTGATCCATTCATAGAACTTGATATATATATATATATATCATATACAGTAGATATATAGATTGGATGATCTCACATCCACTGGTGGCACCTTCGGTGCCACCCAAATCGATACAGGCGTCACGGCCTGGCTTTTTTTGGGTTGGAAAACTATGGGAAAACTATGGGAAAACTATGGGAAAACATGGGAAAACTATGGGAAAACTATGGGAAAACTATGGGAAAACTATGGGAAAACCCTAAAAATCCGTGGTTTAAAAGTGTTTAAAACCTCACTATGCCGATTGAAATTGCCAAAAAAAGAGTGAAAAATATGTGGATAAATCACCAGGTTGGGGACTCAGGTAACTACACCATCCTCTCAGGTGTCCAAGGAGTCAGCCTGCAGCACGTTGCTGTTGGTATGAAAGGTACTCACTGTCATTCATGAAAATCACCTCAGCCAAAAATGAACATCCCATGATCACCGGAAGTCTCCACTTAGATTTCATTCCATCCCCATGAGCCCTAAACCGTTGATATGGATCACCACGACTCATCGATGTGGTCTTGATCTTTTCGGATGGGCGGGCTGATCATGAAATTTGGGATCTATTCAAAACTTTTGAAGATTGGATAATCACAAGTTACAAATCATATCATGCATTTCTTATCCATATGTTCTTTTAAGATGTCACCCCTCCATCCTGCCCTCCCCACCCTGTCCAGCCTGGGGACCCCAACAAGGATCATGGTCGCCAAGTCATCAGGCAACAACTCCATCAACGATAGGCTGAAGGGTGTGCTGCCGATGCCATGGTCCTGTGGCAACCGAAAAATGGCCGTTGATCTGGGGAAAAAATTAGAGAACATTAATAGAAAATCATGGGATTGTGGATTTTTAGCATGTTCAACTACACTCGTTGCTTCAGCCATTCTAAAGGAGTGTTTGGCAAGGATGCTATGGTTTGTGTACATGGATTTACCATGGATTTACCATCCATATGATGTTCTTCGTGATCATTTTTCAGCAACGGATGGGGGATATATAACCTACCAAATAACCTACGATCGGATCATCGACAGAAATATGCCAAGTCATAGCATCCAAGTGTGTGCCCGGAGGCAATCCTGCAGCCAGGATAGTCTGGAGCACAAGGATGTGTCCTGCAAAATTTATGTACATAGCAAAGCGATAGCAAATTCAGAAAAGCGATCAAAGGGCTGATCTGAAAATTGAAAGTCTGACAGCAACCCGCATGAACCAATCAAAGTACGTAGGATCTCAAGCACAGTTTTGCTCATTAATGATACCTGTAATGCTTTGAATGGATATGTGTTTGATCCAAAAGGGAAACTCGTCATCACGGGTCTTCCAAGTTGGCAAAGAATCCTTATCTTCCTTGTCTTCCTCATCTTCCTCATCTTCATCCTCTGCAACTTCCTTAGCAATTGCTTTTTGAGCTTTGGCAGCATCAAACAACTTTCACAGCAATGGCTCCAGCAGTTCTGAAGCCACGAGTTTCCCTACCATTCGGACCATTCGGATTTCTGGCAGTCGCAATGTGTGTTCCAAGTCGATAACAAGACATCTAGGAGGCAGGCATCACCTTCATCGTCACCTGACCATAACAGGTCTGCACTGAACCATGCAGGGCTACCTAGGGCTACGCAGGGCTGATTTCATCCAACATCTGTATCGATTTGGCACCTTCATGCCTTCCTTGCTGTTCCAAGACAGCACTGACCTCGTGAAGCACAACAAAATAGCGACATGGGAACATGTGGTCCAAGTTCTCATAGTTGCCTGCAATTCTGAATCTTATCTGCATTCTAGTTTTATCTATGCAATGCATCGTCACAATTTTCCAAGGCAGGTCATGTCAGTTGATCCCCCGACATCCGCTGCCGAGTCGCCACATCTGCAGGCGTGACCAGTAGGTCGTCGCAGTCTCGGGACTGATCCAAGAAGCCGCCGTTCATCAGCCACTGGGTGTTGCCCTTGGCTCCACTCGGCTGATGAAATCTGTCTTAGATGCTGGGAGAATCTCAGAGAGTTGCAAGACTTTCACACTATTTTTATGATATTTCTGTAATATATGTCTAGATATTTCCGCAAAGTTCTGTCGGTGTTTCATGACAATTTTACTATGAGCTGGCTGCCAGCTATGCATGTTTCCAGGAATCAGATCGCACCTGTAAGCCGTAGCAGTTCATGATTTCCTCCGTGGGCATGATCTCACGTTCCGCATGGAAAACCAAATGATCACCACCTGGTGGATCCAGATGAGAGAAAGTCCCCAAACCACACACCTGGTGAACATGGAATATCATATGATCTTGCAAGTATTCAACATCTGATGAAGTCATATTGCCAAACACTTATATATATATATACACATATCTTGTTATATAATGTGTTTAAGTTGTGTATAACTAAAAGAAACAACGCTACGTACGTGTGAAAAAAGTGTCTTTGCAAAACAACAACAAAAAAAACGGTTCAGCTCTAGACCTTAAAATGTTTAATGCGACACTATGACAAACTACTGCGTCTCGACATAAACATTCAGCCCCTGGGCTACTGATCCACCAGCCAGGAGTTGACAGCTACAGTTCCAATTGGCCCAGGCACAATCTCTCATCCGCGTGTGCGGCACTCCAGAATGGTTCAAGGCCTTGGTATCTGAAAATGGGCTATCACCCCCACAATTTCAATATATGTTCCTTGGGGAAATGATCAAGATGTTCAAGCAGTGGATGGAATTGATGGAATTGATGGATTTTTTCCCAACATGTAGAGACAAACACATATCGCAAGCTATCTGGACCTCCTTGACGGCGATCCCAAACTTGTAGATGAAACCAATGGCTGCTCAAAAATGCCCCATTCATACCAATTCAATCCAATGCGCAGCAATGGGCCCCCCAATAAAAAGTATCAAATCTTCTTACCTAAACCATCCAAAAGTCTCCAATTCTGGTTATTTCAAGTGGCTTAACTCACCAAAATTCTGCCATCCCAGGTCAATCAGGGTCAATCAGCTCACACTGAAAACCCCCCCGTTGGTCAAGGGACATCCGCAAAGGGCGCCAGGATGACAGCCTTCAGGCTGGAATCGAAGGCGCGGCTGGCAACCACCGAGGCGGCCCAGCGAAGCCTGGATGGTGATTATCCCCTTAGAATCCCATTGGAATGTACCCGGCCTGGTAAACATACCAGAGAAGCTATGGAAAATCACCCTTTTTATAGCTGGGTAAATCAACTATTTCGACTGGGCCATTTTCAATAGCTATGTGAAAAATTACCAGAGGCTATGATTTTTCTGATGGAAATATCATCATTGGATGGAGAAAGTTGCTGAAATCCCCTGAAAATTCCACTGGTGAATCCTTGTTGCTAGTATATGCTAGTATTATTGACATGTTTTGAGACTGACAGATATCCCAACATCGGATGGTAAAATAGGCTTTTCCATGGTTTTCCCCAATATTTCATAGAATTTTGATTGAAAACTCCTGGGAAAACCCCCGAAAAAGGCGC